TTACATTTACATACCTTGTTTACCTGGCTCAAGTGGTGGTTCTGGGGTTGTTGTGTGAGCCACCGCTTGAGAATTGTCGTCTTTTTTAAGAAAAAATGTTCTTATGTCCACCTTCAAAAACTCTGAGTCCGACTGACAGTTTAAACATTGTCAGAGCTCACAGGATAGGTACCTGCCAGCCAATAAGACAGATGTTTATTTCCNGGTAAATATAAACATAACATTGTGATCACACACTTTGTATGGGTCACACGTGCGTTGCTTCAACAGAGACGCTTCCCATTCACTTCTAATAGGGTGACGTCACGCTTTGCCGAACTGCATTGTACTTCTGTCGCGTTGCTTTGCCTCTGTTGCTCACTTCGAGAGTTGAGAAAAGTTCAACTTTTCAAGCGTCAACGGAAGCACCAGCCAATCAAATCATATGCCAAGCTCTCGCCAATCAAACAGCATACTTGTGTGTCCAGGGAGGGAGATTAATGTGATTGGTTGTTGGTCGCGCGCCAGACACGCCCACCGGCAAGCTTCAACGCACGCTGCCGTGTGGACGTACCGTAAAAGCTGAACAGTTCATATAAGCATGCCCTTTCACAGCAGGCTGGATCTTTAATAATTCTGCAATTCAATAGTACCATACAACCTCCAACTGCTTGACCTAGCCATATAATAGTATTTAAAGCAACAGAAAAAAATCTCAGCTGTGAGTGGAAATTAGAATTTCACACCTTTCCTGTTCCAGACTCGTTTAGCAGAGCTCTCATACTTCAGCTGCCAGGTGTTGAAAAAAAAGGGATGACACACCTATTACTTTGATGGGCTGTGTAAGCTATAATGCATTTTGGGCCTTTCATATGTTTTTACTCTTCTTACAGTCAGCTTTTGAGCCCGTACAAACTCCAGTAACAGTCTTGGTTGAATACAAAAAAATACAGCTTCAACTTCTGAAAGAGATTATTAACATACGGAGATCAAATGTCTACTGGATTTTTTTTTCATTCTCATTAAAAGTAGAATGACAGTAAGAGGTCGAATAGATGTACGTGAGGGGTCCAGTCAGTGTGAATTCTGAGTGATACGTTTTGTATTCCTCCCCGTGACTTCAGGGATCCTCAATCAGGAAACTCACTGTAACTCAGGCAGCTATCAGAGCTGAGGATGACACTTCAGACACCCAAACTGATTTAGCAGTTCATACACGCAGATAACATTATTGATTACTTCAGATTTTATAACATGTTATCAGAGTTGAAGCGTACTCTTTATGAGCCAGTCCACTGCGGAGGAAATAAAACATAGAAGAGCAGAGATTTATTGCCACGGTATATATGTCTGTCAAAGTAATATATCATTTACTGCGGTTATGATTGATAAATGTTGCTAAAAAGAGTATTTTTCATTCGTCCTATATTGTAACTTATGGATGTTTTTTTTATATTGACCAATAAATACTGATTTACAAGACTGTTTGTTCACACTACAATGTTTAGCTTCACATGATGGTTTGTACACTGTGCCCGGATAGGACTTGGGTTGTGG